GTTTATAATTTTTGCTGGTCAAAAATGGGAAAATAAATTTCAAATAATGTTTATCATTATGTAAGTTATTTTTTAAGGTAAGGAATTGTGAAATGCTCTATGTGTGGATGTAGAAATTGACACAGTCAGGTGAGAGTCTTGTGACGATCGACGCTGCCTTACTTAGAAATATTACACAATATTACAGCATATTTCAACTAAATAAGGCAGTGTCGATCGTCACATGATCTCCACCTGACTACGTCAATTTCTACATCCACCTGTATGTGAGTGGTAATGTGCTTACGTATGTTCACGTGAGAAACAACTGTTAAGTTCATCAGCGCGTAAGCTTAAATTTAACCTTGGTTTCGTCCTGCGAAACAATGATCATCTCAGAATTTGGTTGGTGGCACAGTTGACCATTTAGTGAACTACAGAATGAAGGGTGGAGTAAGCGCGTTTGTCTTTGTTTACATATTTTATCTTTGCACTTACCATGGTCACCGATAGAAATCCCATCGATTTCGGCTGGACCCGCCACGAAAAGTGCTCGAAACTTCATGGATCGATATCACTGCCATGAAAAACGCTTTGAGACAGCGCCCTTGCGATGTTTCTCGCCGACCTTCATCTTGACCACTAGTGAAACCTCTGAGACACCGAACACATGTAAGTCCATTTTCTTTTCCTGTTCTACTTCAGCATTTTTAGAAGGATGCAGGACGATTGTGTTAGGTTCTTATAATTAGCCCTCGCTCAAGGAATGTTCTGTCCTTGACTGTCCAACACGAGCGCTAGCTAATTGCGTACTTTCGCTGAATCTTGCACAGGACAGCCCCTTCCTGTCGGACCTTAAGCTCGGTTCCGTGAGTCACTATCCGATAGACCTAGGCAATTTCGCGGCATCACCGTGCCAGTGAGCGACGTCAGTAACCTGACTCCCATATCATCATCACTAAAATTATTTCTATCAGTTCAAATGCTAGCGAATCATCTTCACGTTCGCCAGAGTATCTGGAGGCATTGAAGTGAGGCGAGTCCATCTGTGAACCGAATCTCGTTTTCTATCCCTGTGGAACGTTTATTGACTGTGCATAATAGGTATTTGCACGAGATGTTCGACCAGCCTCTTCATCTTTGTTCCAGAATGGACTGGGTCAATGTAGGCTTTGTCGTCGGCTGTCCTCGGTAGGAATCTCGGTCCGCTGGCACTATGGTCTTCTTACTTGGAGACAGTCCCAGGAGTCGAGGGTCTGCAACCCAGTCACAATTTATTTTCCTCTCGCGCGCGTAATCTTCTTGGTTATCATCATCTTCTCTAGAGGCCGTTATAATCATTCGGTCTATGAGGAGGTTTTACTGTTCTCGAAGGATTAGCAAGCCAAATGCGTGGACCTCACCCTTCTATTGTTACAGGAAATAGGAAGCCTTTGGCCGTACAGGAACTGCGAAACGGAAATAAAACGGAACAGAAAGGAATGGAACACGAAGTACAGATACAAGCGCGAGTACAGAGGGAAAGAATTGCCACTGGAAGGATGAGGAAAGAGCTAGTGCGGTCGTGAGAGCGAGAAAGTGGAGCGCGGGGGTCAACGCGCGTGCGTGTCGAGTCGAGGAAGAAAAGGACAAAAGCCAACGATGTTGCGCAGACGCCCAACTTGGTAGTCCATGGAATAGTTGTTGCATTGGTGTGTTTTCGAGGACGCTGGCGAGGTATTGATGTATATCTCTGGTGACAGCTGCTTGTACAACTCTGCGTTGAGGCGGACGACCTGGTTGAACTTCGGATAGCGTCAGAGAGTTATTCTCTATCAAGAAGAAAGCGGCCAGCCGGCGATAGGCCATTTCTGAACCACATGGACGACATGGATGCCCTTTCAGCACCAGAATACGAGGAAGAGAATCACGGCCGCTAAGCGGCTCTACTCTCGCGACCCTGTTCGATAGCCAAGAGTGTCGAGCATTCCATGGATTGTGTTCTTTTCCTTAAAGTGTGATCGAAGGCGAATAACGAAAGGTGGGACCTCCATAAGCAGACAGATCTAAATGTGAAAAACTGGCCACAGTACCCAATGCAGGTCCCTCTGAGGCTCCTCGACACGCCGGGGGGTCGCGGGACGCACGGCGGGATGCGAAGGAGAAAGAGATGGAGGGCTTGGAGCCATCGATCTTTCTCTGTTGTTGTAAACAACAGACTCGGACGTATCGTTTTCGTCTTCTTCTTCGTCGCTTTCCTCAGCCGCCCAGTAAGACTGGTCTTCTTCGATTGTCCCCAGAGTAACAATTGAGGGTGATCTTTCGATGGACTGCGCCTGCAGCGTCATGACAGGTGTTGAGTCTAGTGAATTGCTTTCGCCTCCCCGATTCTCGTTGTCCTCAGCCGTTAACCCTGGCGTGCCTGGGCTGCTATCGTACTGGAACACGCTCTGGCTCGTCGTTGTATTCACTGGTGCCTCTGGCAAATAATTAGAGGGACCTGGTGCGTAAAACAGGAAATTCGTTTCATCCTCCTCCTCGATTTTGACCAGAGTGGACTCTGGCTCTGTGGACTGTGCGTCGTTAACTGTTGGTTTTTCCACCGTTAGACCTGGTTCGGCTATTTGCATAGCCCTATTCGTCTCTTGGTGGCGCGTCGTTCCACCATTTGCGGCAGGTATGATGATGTTGCGGGATCGCAAACTCCGTATGTTTCTTACAATTGGCGGGCCTTCGGATACAGCAGGAACGACACTAGATGGTTCTGCAACTGCTGCAGTGATGCGCTGCCGCTTTCCTGCCCCGAGTTCATGATCCGCCTCGCCTATTCGGCGTTTCTTGCTGGTGGGAATAGCGCTGTCTTCAGAATTTTTACTCGGACTCGACCTCGAAGCTTTCTTACGAGACCACCGATGGCCGCGTTGCTTGCGGGATTTCGGCTTGGTCGGAGGCGGGGAAGAGACATCTAGGCCATATGTAAGTTCAACGTTACAATTTTGTATGGTAGTCCAACTCACCTTCACAAGGATTCTGTGATTCATCAATGGAAAGGCCAGAGCCTTGTGGCTGTCGGCTGACAAGGGGCCTATCTGAATAAATATTTTAATGAGCAACCGTGATGCAGAATGAGGTCGGAGGCTTACCATTTCTTTCACTTCTTACTTCGGAGACTTGCGCAGTCTGTAGGTTAGAGAACCAAGCTCCTGCCAAGAGGGGTTGGTCCTCTGTGATAATGTTCGTTGAAAGTGCACCGTGGCTCCCCGTGTCGGTGCTAAAGGCATTGGTCCGGACTTCGGCGGAGCCTTCGACCGCATTGTCATAGACGGCAGTACTCCTTCCGGTGGTTGTCTGGGGGCTGCTTCTGGGATGGGCAACGGGCGAACGGTTTGGCTGCACTAACAATACATCGTTGTTACCGGCTTCATTAATACTAGTCGTTTCGGCTGCTGGAAGTTGCCTCGTCATATTACGAGTGAAAACCATTATGCTTGATATGTTAGACAACGGGAATGGGTTATGGGGATTTCTTGATGTTGGGTGCGGAGGGGAAGTTGACTTGTTGGAATTGAGGGCCACGCTCTTTATATGCCCTCACAATAGGGGTTACCTCATCAAGACACATCACTCCAGACCTAACTGGTTTTGTTCATCATTGTCCTTTGTGACTCGTTAACACCCAAATTTCAAGGGCGGTTATGCCCGAGCCACGGACGATGCGGATTGAAGGGAAAGCAATGTAATTTTTGACCTTCATGGTTTGGTTCTATTTTCCTTGACTTCTTCTCTGGGATTATCTTATGCTTTTCCCCGGCCCTGTGGAGAAGGATGGAAGGGGGGGAGGGGGGGAGAGGTTCGAGATCGATGAGATGGGATTGGATGGATCCTGCATGACTCTTGTTCTTGCATAGCCGAGACTGTCGAGTCTACCATGTTTCTGGTCAAGAGATATTGTTGGTGGATCCGACCCCAAGTAACCCGCTCTCTCCGTGAATTTCACTACTTGAATGGCCTGCGGTCATGATGCTTGCATCTCGTACAGCAATTATTTATCGTGGTTCTACACGTAAGCTGACTTATTTTTTGGAAAAAAAAAACTCTGTTTTACATTGAAGAGTTTGTCAATACTTGCTTGTGAGCAGCGTGGTGGACCCTTTATAACCTCCCTCAAGCTGTATACTTCTAATTCATAAATTTAACAGCAACATTGAATGGATACATCATGGTCCAAGCGCACCGCTTGAGCCACGCGTTTTGGCACTCAATATATTCCCTTTTATAACCTTGAAAAATGAGAAACACCCGATTCATCCTCTGTCTTTGACTCATTCATTCCGCTCATTTTCTAGCTGAGAACTTTACGCCGACAGGCTAGAAGTGACCCCCATGGAAGGTGGAACTGGGCAGGAAAGCGGGATCAGTGCAACGAACGGTCATTGCACTCATTCTATATTTAGAAGTTCGCTGTCGGTGGCTCAAGAGCAGCTTACTTCTTCATAGTTCGTACTGTTGATTTTTACACTGTGATGCGTTGGACAGTGATAAGTATAATAGATACTTACGTGTGCTCACGTACGTTGCTAGAATCATTTATGTGGGGGATGGTTGTTGAATTCGGCTTTAGTTAGTAAGTTAAAGTTTGTCCTTATTTCATCCCTTCAAAGTAATTAAAAGAAATTATTGGGAGACTCAAGTGGCAATTCAATATAAAAGCGAGCGGGATTCCCATCCCCCCCCCCCTTCATCTCTCTCTCTCACTTACTATACTAGCCCAAAGGTTGTATGCTTCTTCGCCACATTGTAGAATAGTGAATCGTAAGACAGGGAGCAATGGAGGAAGGGTTGGCGGGCTGGGAGCCCTCAATCTTTCTCTATCGACAGAGATGAGAGAACCCGAAACATTGTCATCAATTTCGCCCTCGTCCTCGTCCTCATCCGCAATGGCCACCAACTCGTCCAGTGGTGTCACTTCCTCTATCGTTCCCGAAGGAACAAGTATGAGGGATTCATCAAAGGATTGGGCGTCCACCGACTGTACCCGTGGCATTCTTATGACACTGATAAGAATACCAGGTGTGCAGTCATCAGCTCCGGTATGCTACAGTGACTGTCATACAGGAATGTAACCTCACTTGTTGGTTCAGTTTCCAGTATCAGCATGCTCCAATCACAAGGTAGCAGTGTGTCGAAGAGGTAATCCTCCTCTTCATCCTCCATTTTTATCAGTGTGAAGTCTACCCCAATGGCTGGCATATCTTCTATCGCCGATTGACGGTGTAGGGATGGCGACCTCGCTATCCTGTTGCTCTCGCCCCTTCCCGAGTTTGCAAGATCATCAGGAAGGACGAAAGGATGGTGCTGCGTGATCGCAGCTGCCTAACGTTGTTTGCATCCATTGTGTTGCTGAATGACATAGAACAGACGTTGGATGACCCGCAACAGCTTCACTGGTATGCTGCCCCTTTGTTGGCCTAGGCTCGTCTTCTTCGCCATTCGTGCTCTCGACTCGGTGCTTTCTGCCCATCTGGACAGCACAACCTTGGGTAGATGTCCTTGCAGTTTTCTGCGACTCTACCCATGCCCGCGTCTCTTGCGAGCCTTCGGCTTGGAAGGGGGTGGGCAGGAAGCATTAGAAAGTCTAGACCTTATGTCAGTTCGATGCTGCACTTACGTATGGTGATCTAACTCACCTTTACAAGGATTTTGTGAGCTTTCGCTGGAAATGCCCGAGCCTTGTGGCTCATGACTGTCTAGGTCCCGGCTGAATAAATATTTTAATGAGGAATCTTGACGTGGAACGAGGAGTGAGACTTACTATTTTTTGTACTTTCTGTTTTGACGATCTGCACGGCTTGGGTATTAGAGAACTGGTCCTCTATAGTGATGTTAGGTTGAAAAGCACCGACGCTTCCCGTGGTGGTGCTGAAGGCATTGGTGGAAACGTTGGTGGAGCTTTCAGAGGCATCTTTTAGACGGCGCCACTTGGTCTGGTCATTGATTAGGAACCGTTTCCAGGTAGGTAACACGCGAACGCCCTGAATGCGTTAATGGTGTCTCATTGCTGTTTGTTGCTTCGATGCGAGAGGCCTGAACAGCTGCGTATTCCCTCAGAATTGCACGAGTGAGTACCATTATGCTCTGTCGTGTAAATGGCGCGCTGAGGAGGGAGTCGTTCCGGGGAACTCTTGTTGTGTAGGAGGATTGGGGTAGTGAGCTGACTTGTGCGACTTTGAGAGCCACGCACGCCGGGGTGCGAAGGAGAAAGAGATGGAGGGCTCGGAGCTATCGATCTTTCTCTGTTGACTACAACAACGGACTCCGATGCGTCGTTCTCATCTTCTTCCTCGTCGCCTTCCTCAGTCGCCCAGTACGGCTGGATTGTCCCTGGAGTAACGATTCTGGGTAATCTCTCAATGGACTGCATACACAGCGTTTGAACAGGTGTTGAGTGTAGTGCATTGCTTTCGCCTGGCCGGTTCTCGTTGCCCTCAGCCATTAACCCTGGCGTCCCCGGGTCGCTGTCGTACTGGAACACGCTCTCGCTCGTCGGTGTATTTACTGATACCTCTGAAAAGTAATTAGAGGGACCTGGTGAGTAAAGCTGGAAATCCATTTGATCCTCCTCCTCCTCGATTTTGACCGGAGTGGACTCTGGCTCTGTGGACTGTGTGCCATCGACTCTCGGCCTTTCCACCGTCCAACCTGGCACAGCCGTCTGGATAGTCCTATTCGTCTCCCGGTCGCGCGTCGTTCCACCATTTGCGGCAGGCATGACGATGTTGTGGGATCGCAAACTCCGTATGTTTCTTACAGTTGGCAGGCCTTCGGATACAGTAGGAACGACGCTAGATGGTCTTGCAACTGGTTCAGTGACGCGCTGTCGCGTTCTTGACCTGAGCTTATGACCTTTAGCATCCGCCTCGCCTATTCGGCGTTCCTTGTTGGTGGGAATAGCTCCGCCTTCAGAATTCTTACTCGGATTCGACCTCGAAGCTTTCCTACGAGACCATCCATGGCCCCGTCGCTTTCGGGCCTTCGACTTGGTCGGAGGCGGCAAGGGACACCTAGGCCTTATGTAAGTTCAATGTGACGCTTTCGTGCATTGTCCAACTCACCTTCGCGAGGATTCTGTGATTCCTCTGTGGAAAGGCCAGAGCCTTGTGGTTCTCGGCTCTCAAAGGCCTCAACTGAATAAATACTTTAATGAGGAACCAAGATATAGGGTAGGATTAGAAGCTTACCATTTCTTTCACTGTTTGCTTCCGAGACTTGCGCAGCTTGCGCTGTCTGTAGGCCAGAGAACGTAGCTCCTGCAGAGGAGGACTGGTCCTCTCTGATGATGTTCGGTTGAAGGGCACCGTGCCTGTGTTCACTGTTGGTGCTGAACTAATTAGGAAGGGCCCTAGCGGCGAAATTTGCTAGAGGGCAAGGCAAAAAAAATATTATCAGGAATTTTGTTGTTGAATATACATCTACGTCTTATTTATAGTGTTCTGTAACAGTATGTATAATATCAGTACTTCTTACTTGCCTACTAAGCCTGCTTTCTGTTGAGACAATTACATTATGTATTAAAAATTACGTAATTTCTATATATGGGAGGAATTTGTCATAATATTGTAGCTGGTTGCGAAATTTTGCAAGACAAGAATCGAGAAATGTAGAATTTTTTTTTCAAAAGAACAATGAGTTCATTTAGAGCAAAAAACAGTCTTTTGGAAATAAGTTAGTAATTTCTATTTTCTTGAAAATCTGTTACATCATTCTGTAGAAAAGTATAATTCTAACAATTCTATTGTAGAGAAACTACAACTTCCACTTGTGGCGCATTGTACCCAAGGATCACATGACTAGATCCATCTGAAAGTTGTCTCACTGAGGCTTGGACTCAGAACATCTCTCACCCCACAGCTTCAAGGTGTAACGATATTTGACCTCAACTTCTTATACTACTCGTCTCACCTCACTGTCCTAAACCTTTTTAACACCATGATGCAGAATGCTGATCATAGGTATAGGCAACAATCATCAAGGACTGTGTAGGAGTGTTACAACATTATTATTCTTTATATCAAATCACCGAGTTCCGGCTCATCTTTCCTCTACTGTGGTGCATCTTCTTGTGATTCATCTATCATGTACAGGGAGATTGTATCTCGCTTCCGGGCTAAGATGAATCAGACACTCTGATGATTAGAGAACATATCTACAAAACAAACGGATTCAGTGCTACAGTATCCAGGAAGAGTGACCACAGATGCTCTGAGAATGTTCTTCTTATCACAAGACTAGCCTTGAAGATCATCTAGTTGTCAAGTCTCTTGATTGTTCCTGCCACAATGCAATAGAAAATGGAGGCTTCTTACTATAGTAACTATGTCCTTGTTCCCCTCATTTAGATTATTGTGTAAATGCATCATAGGCTAGACCAAATATCTTGATAGGAACACAACTAATCAACGTTTCTGCTGTTCGTGCTCAAGCAACATTTGTTGCTCTGTATCGACTCGGACAAGATCAGCGTTTCCTCATCAACACATGTTTATAGACTGACTTGAAACACATAAAGGACAAATATATAAAGTCCTGGACTTCTACATTCGACTAACCATATCCTCAGGTGCCTCATTTCTACGGCCAGACTCACGGAACCATGACCCTCATTGTACGATCTGAACCTTCAACTATAGCTGCTAGTTTTACTTCTGTTTGGGTCTCTGAGCAAGTAACAAAGCAATACTTTCAAGTTGCTGTTGTGACTACTTTGACCTATGATATTGGTGAGTACAATGCAAATTTGTTGTCCAATCCAAAATGTTCACAGCCTTGTAGTCACAACAATGGATAAAGAGGTAAATGAAAATATCTATCTACTATACTGTATCTAATGCTTGCGTTGCATAGGTCAAATATTTTTGGGTAATTCATCCGTCGTAATATTATTTTTTATCCAGTACACTCACCTACACGAATGGATAGAAAACACAATGGAGCGCTGTCAATGTCATATTTTTTGTGGTAGGTATTGCATATTGCTCTCTGTCGCGTGTTAGAGAAATTGACAAACGTCACCGATCCAGAACCGCTATCTTGGCCTTTTCGGGGCCAGTGTATATCTGATTTGTAATTATTTTTAATCCTTGCTATAGCTCTGTTTTACATGCCTAATTAACTCTCAAAGCAAACTCGTTTGGAATTAACCTTGCATTGTATGTGCATGCTTATTCGTCCTTCTACAAACGCTATTAACTCTTGAATTATAGATGTAAGAATTGAGTGCATTTCCGCCTCTTATCCACTAACATACATAACCATAAGGTGATTTTGCTACATGGAGTCAGGACATTGCTAGTATGTACTCCAGTTAATTGTATGTGCCTTATTTTGACATAGTCGATCTAGATTGGGCCACGATCGTACTCATTGATTGTGAGTGTCTTGTGGTATACATTCATACAGATCCGGTTTCATAAGATTGACACAGATATTTTAATGATTCGAGTGCTTGCACTATACTCAAGAGGTCTGAGATATATATCTATACGATTTCTGTTAACTCATTCTGTCATAGACAAGTAATTGTCTATAATACTTAACATTCTTCTCGCTGTAGAAGCGATTTTCAAACTCGGTTTGATTATTTATTTTGACGTAACTGCAGACTGTAAGATATCAATATCTCTCTCGATCTGACCCAAACTCTGACTTGATCACAGACGTTGTTGGGTTGCTTGCAAATGGCTCTACAGTTTGTGGTCAACTCAATTTCTCACCAACGGTCTGGGGAATAGTTGATTGGTGAGCTTAGTTTGTGTTGGACCACATATTTCTAATGGTTTATCAGGACAATACCAATGCTTTATGATATTTTATTGATGGTTCTTGCACTCTATAGAGCTGCAGAATTCTGGAAGATATCTACCGGATTCAAAGGGTTTGAGCTTGTCAAGATCGTTATTCGCGATCAGTTTACTTATTTCGCTATGTAAGAATATCTCAATCTGTCGAATGATAAACTAATAGCACTGCCGTAGCGTAATAGCATGCTGCATAGTCGACATAATGCAGTTCAAAGTACAAGTGACAAGCCAGTTTTGGACGGGCGTTCTAGGCTCCCTCGGAAACCCATCATTTCTCTGCGTCCTAGGAAGTCGAATGCTCTTCAACCTGAAGGAGGCGGGCCAACTAGGCGTAAATGAGGGAACGAGCTACAGGTTCACCTCGAGGACCGTGAATGCAATGGAATTCTCTTAACCAGATATCAAGAAGTATATATGTATCTGGAGTCTTGTGTGTCCTTGGGCTCGGTTTTCGGAAACGATTCCATACGTACGAAAATAGTCCAATTGTTATGTTATCGATTGTCTGCAAACATTTTCCGGAAAGCAAATCTACCAAACCGTCGTTTGTCACCGAATGGCACCAAAGAACGTCCGAGTTACACGCCGAGCTTCTTCCGTTGTCCTTTCGGCTTGGCATCAATTAATTGAAAATCTGTCAGTACTAAACTGCTAAGACTTCTTTCATATGTCGAAGTTCGGCTGTCTCCGGGCGGGCTGACTTTTCAGGATTTGTAATCAAAACATTAGTCATATTTTCACTGAACGTCTTTATTAGACCTACGATGTGCTCATACACAACTTCTACTGCAAAGATACGTCCCTTAATATACAAGCTCAACCTCATTTTTCATGTCCAAACTTGCCGCCAAAGACCCATGACCTGCAAATTTCGCTACCTGAAGCGAATAAAAACCCCTGGGACTGGTTCATCTGCCATCGAAAGCTTGCTATGAGAAATTCTACTGACTTCCTGACCGTGGCTAAGGCTCGTGGTGTGCTTCGACTGGTAATTGGCTGACACATATCGTCGCTGACTTTCGGCAAAGTTTGTATTCCTGAGAAATGAACTTTGTCTGGAATGACGCAAATACCTCCCATTTCAGCGCATTTCTCCGAAACAAGACCTTTTCTTGGGATCAAGCACGCGAGCCTCATATTAGCCATGTCGTTGGGACATTCATACTTAAAGAATGTGATTCGGATGGTGTATACAAATTTCTATCTGGTGCGTTTCTGCAATACAGATGCTGCTTCTCCTTATCTATACTCATGGTTCTTCAGAAGCTATCCTTCCCCGCGAACCTTGCTTTTTGCTTCCGCCTTCGAGCAGCGCTCCCAGTTTCCCTCCGCCCTCTACCAAGCCAATGTGAACGCAGGTTATAAAGGTCAGCCTGTCTGCTTCAACGCATTATCCGAGGGATTCACATCGCGTAAAGATCGGCAGCAGCGCGAAGTTTGGCATGGAGTTTCCCAAGTTTTGGTCTTTTTATCAGATCGACGTTCTGTGAGTGGATTGATACTGTTCACCCCTGGGCTCTTTCCTTCACAAGTCTTACCGATTATTCCGATGGTTCTCTCACAGTTATCTTCTCGTGTCCCATGTCTGAAGAAGACAAGCTTTGCTGCACGGTATTTAAGCCCTACAAGCACATGAATGAGGAGGTAGGGATTGCCTAGCTCTCTCCGATGTTTGCCTCAAGTATCTTGCTCCTTGCCGCACTCGTAGCAGCTGTTCCTTCTCCGCCACTGGTCCGTGTGCGCGAGTCAAAGGTGACAGTGCCGTTCGTCGGCAGACTCAACATCACCGGGCACACGATCGCCGAGATTGACAGAGCGCGTGCTGCTCAAAGCCGTGCAAAGGGTAAGGCTCGGATAGGACAGTCAGAGAAGCGACAATCGGCATTTCCAATCATCAATGAAGCCGTCACTTATGTTGCCACAGGTTCGTCCAAAGGAAATCCTCTGCACAGTCATATTTTGATTCTAATATACAATTTCACTAGTCGGGGTCGGAAGTCCAGCTACTTCATACGATTTACTAATTGATACAGGAAGCTCGAATACTTGGTAAGTCTACAATAACTGCATTAAATATATTTCTCAATCATAGCGGTTTAGGGTCGGAGGTCCGCCCAGTTCCGTTCCGCATTTTATTCTCGTCTAATAAAATTGCAGCTGGGAAGCGTTTCGTGGAAACGAGTACAAGCCAGGATACGGGCGACGTAAGTGAATGTCTTTGTTCTATGAAAAGACCGTTCTGACTCAATTTGAAGCTTGTCTCAGTTCAATACGGATCAGGATTCTTTATCGGGGAGGAATGTCAGTCCCGATATTAAGTTCATTTCTACAACCATAGGCATCTAATTTTGTTATCTGGATTCAGTCTCTGACACCGTGACGCTCGCGGAAGGTCTTGTTATCGAAAACCAAGGCATTGGTGACGCTTTGATCTCCCAGTGCGTATAACTTCCAAAGTTTCTCTTCAAGCCAGTTAAACTTGTTCACAATTTCAGAGGTTTCGATGGCGTGGATGGTATCCTTGGTATGTATTGACTAGATAATAGGTACAAGACTATTGATCTTTATCCTAACTTATTTTCACTTCAGGCATTGGCCCGACGGATCTCACTGAGGGCACAGTGGATGGCATTGATAGCGTTCCCACAGTCACCGACAATCTGTTCTCTCAAGGCATAATTCCGGAGAAAGTTGTTGGTGTTTTCTTCGCACCAACAAACTCACTCGAGATCGCCAATGGAGAGCTTAGCTTCGGACAGGTATGTCACCGTACACTATCCCTTGTAGATTATATACTTACTCAACATCTCCTAGGCCGATGCATCCAAGATTACGAGCGATGTTGTCTTCACCCCTATTACATCGACTTCTCCTGCTAGTGAATTCTTCGGAATCGATCAAAGCATAACGTACGGTTCTGACGGGACCGTTGTCCTTCCTTCTACGGCTGGTATTGTCGACACAGGTACGTATACATCTATTACCCATGCTACAATTGGCATTTACCTGATGATATACAGGAACTACACTCTTCTTATTGCCCACTGATGCATTCAACACGTACACGACTCTAACTGGTGCTACTATGGACAACAACGTCGGACTGCTCAGTCTTACCCCTGAGAACTTCGCGAATCTCCAAAGCCTTTTCTTCAACATAGGAGGCTCCGCATTTGAGTTTACTCCAAATGCCCAGCTGTGGCCTCGTGCACTTAACACTGCAATTGGAGGTCCGGCAAATGGTATCTTCTTGATCGTCAGCGATGTATGTAGCCATCTCATCTTTGTATTCACCATATTTACTAATGAAACGTTACTTCAGCTTGGGACGAATAGCGGCGAAGGCTTTGACTTTGTTAACGGATTTGCGTTCCTGGAACGTTTCTATTCCATCTTTGACAGCACTAACAACCAAGTCGGCTTCGCGGCTACCGCTCACACCATGGATGAAACGAACTGATTTTATGGTTAATTGTTACTTTACTTTCTTGGGATTGCTTCAGGAGGGACGATTTTACGTGACCTTTTGTCTATGATGCTTGGTATTCTTTGTGTTTTAGCTGGCAAATCGAGTCTCGATAGTTCAATCAATACTGTCCGGTCACACTTGTTAGTCTTAATTTTTACAGTGCATACAACACGGCCAACACAGTAAGGCAATATGATATTGGCAGTACTTCTGAATTAACACAACAATAACAAAGGTGTTCTATCGATAAAGCATAGTCTTGTGCCACTGCACCAAACACAGGATAAGATGAGGATGAGCTTATCTCTACACAAGATCTTTACGTTGTAAATTTACCATAAATGGCTGAAATTAACTCCTCGTACCTGAGCGGGAAGTGTAGTTGATTTTGCTCATCGCCTCGCCTCGTGGCACACAGCTAAGCACAGCATAGATTATTAGATGCAGGACCTTGAATTCATTTACGTATTTGCACATGTTGTTTGGAGATTGGACCGATTAACGTCAATAACATTGCATCATGGTAGGGGTAGATTTCGTGACCCCGAGATTCTACAGATAAGGGATCTCGGCGAATACTAATTCTTGTAGAAAATTGACTATATTGCTCCAAAAACCGTAAAAATCGTACAGACGTCCTCAAGCTGTGCAGCCTCTGTGCCTTCGCGTACCTGGGCTCCAAACTGCGTCCCTTAAATTTCCTGTGCTACTCCAGTGGTTTATCACCTTTGTGCATTATTAGTTGTCGGAGCGAGGTTAATGACGTGGAGCTAACCGTCGGTTACATTATCAGACCGATCCCTCACCGAGGGTCGGCCAGGACTAAAAACCATCTAGTTGTACAACATGGGGAGTAGAGAAGGCGTAGTTGTAATAATGCTTTATGCATACATCCGCCTTACTCAGGTGTGAGGAGATGGGGAGACGGAGGCGATGCTAGAAAGTTAGAGAAAGCAAAACATGAGTCGGACGACGTCGGGGTGCGTCGGGATCGTAAACAACAAGAGAGATTCAAAATCACTCAAATACTCCAGACTGAAGCTTTTGGAGGCACTGTAGCCTCACTTCATCTTCGTACCAACTCGACATCAACTTTAAGCAGACTGCTAAGACGCTATACGTACCCCGCATTCCTCTCGCCGCAGTACTACTACTAGTGCCTAGATCCGAGGAGTTATCGTATCCCACTTGACCGATTGACACTGTCGATCCACCCGTCAGTCGTCCTTCATCGACATTCATTCATTCAGTATCATACAATACTTACATTCGCCGTACGTGTCCCTGTTGAAGTTTCTTCGTCAGTATAACATAACGAGTATTAATTTAAAGCGACAGGGCGACAGCGGGGCGAATTCGTCTATTTGTTCCGGATTCATTTACTGAAGCTACGAGTGAAAGACGTCAGTGAGGACAAAGGATAGGACAGACCGCAAGACAAGAAGACAAGATAAAGGGTTGTTAACAACAGTAACGGACGTTGTCAAGAGATCGGAAGGGAAGGAAAGTGTCAGCCGCAGAGGTATTCGATTTCGGGATTAAAGGCTGGTTGCGGATAAACTAAAGACACGGTAAGTGGAAGATAACATTTCGATATATATTTAAATAGTGATGCTGATAATATCATTGATGATGTCGAAAGGGAGATTGAAAGGACAAGGCTTAGTTAGACGTGACGAAATATTGATACCCCGATACCGGCATTGAAGATTGACAGCTGAATAAAAAGTAGCCGGGTAAGTCAAAGTCATAATATCATATTTGCTATCCATAGAGGGTATGCACCAAGTTGGAATGCTTATTGCTCGGTAACTCAACATCGAGTGCTAGCATCGGTAGTGCATTCGAAATTATCTCTCGGCATAATTTAGCTCAATTACTGACGTCTTGTTTTGTAGTATAGTATACGCAACCGGTGACTACTGAAAGAACTTGCTTGACAAGGGGAGTTTAAAAGGCGAGGAAGAAGCAGCAAAACGAACGATAGATTGACAGCTGGCGAAATACTACGGTAAGTCAGAACATCTTTCGCGTTATTTTTAAGAAAGACACTACGCACCAACTCGGAATGCTCGGGTCACTCGACATTGATTATCATTGAGCAGTACGGCTGTAGCATTGGCGGTGTATTCGAAATTATCCTTACCAGTATTCATGAATGATCGTGAATGGCTTAGTACAGTTGCTGACGTCTTGTTTTATAGTATTGGCAACTCATATCGAAAGAAGGACGCTGCCTTGTTTACTGAAAGAGAGGAGATTAAGAGGGAAAAGAAGAACGATTGCACGAACGATAGATTGCAGGTTTGACAGCCGGCGAACGGCGAAATACTGTGGTAAGTCAAAATCATTCATTCTACATGTTATTTTTAAGATGCTACGAACCAGAGTATCGAAGTTCCAACAACATCAAATACTAACGACACTATTACATTCGAAATTCATCTCTTGCTTATTGTTTAGTGCGATTGCTGACGTCTTGTGTTATAGTACAGACAGTCCAATTCTTCGGAAGAAAGTCTTTGTTTATCCAGAGAGAGGGGATTAAGAGGCTCAGAAGGAAGCATCGAACGAACGAACGATAGATTGACAGCTGGCGAGATTGTTTGCTAGGGTAAGTTAGAATATCATAATATCATATTTATGCTATTTTAAAGACACTACGTACTGGGGACATTCAAGGGATTCAGCATACAATTTGCTGACGTCTTGTTTTTATAGGCTTGTTATTCTTCTTCTTAAGCAAAAGAGAAGAAGGAGATTAGGAGGTGAGTTTGAATTCTTTTCATTGTTTGCATCGAATCAACGCCACCGCTCGCGTCGAGGCAATCTCGTGATAGTCTGAGCGGGTGTAAGGGATTTGGGGAACTAAGGGGGTTGATAGAATTGGATTATTGGATTATTGGATTATTAATCTTGGACGCCGCCGCCGCCACTCACCGTTTCTGTACGATTCTGTTTCTGAGTCGTGTTCGAGACAAGAAGATGAGTGGATGGGGTTGGGTGACCCTATCCTTCACGTTCAGGAAGCGGAGCGAACGAACGAACTCTCTTCTCGCCGCGCAGTTAAAAGATAAAATCTCTGTCTTTTTCTATTTTTACCATTCACCCTAACTGCGAATCCAATTCAACCCCGCACTGATTCGTTATATTATTTCATCCGTAGTGTTCCGCCATCTGATCCATACCTTCTCTCTTGGGTAGTCACGAGAAAAGGAAGGACTTTCTTCTGTGTTTCGGCCTTGCCATCTATCACAGAAGCTGTACGTTATACAAACTAGAATAGTCCGGCCTAACGAGCGCGGAGAAGGAGGAAGGAGGACGATTCGTTATCGCTCGATCGTATCGCAGTAAGCAGTTTACTAATTACTGAGTGGAGAAGAGGAGGGAGGGAGATTCACGTCAGCTGCCGAGTCGGTCGCTGTAGACATTCAGCGCGGTAGTTTCGGTTGTTGAAAATTAGTTGAGCGTGAGCGTCTATCTATCTGGAATATTAGAGAGACGCGGGGAGAAGGGTAGATCGCCGAGGTAGGTGAAAGAACGAAATGATTCCGTGGCCGTGGAGGATAAGGCAGCTCACGTGGTCTGTCAGATTCATAAGACACTGCTCTTGCTGTACATCGGGACTTGCACGACGACTTCTCCGGACGGACGATTCGAATTCTCTTGTGTGTATACGATAAACCCTCACATACATTGCTCTCGCTAAGCTCTGGTGGCAGATCTTGCGCCAATCTGGGAATTTAGAATACCCTTTCCTTCCCGACTTCGACATAGACAGAACTCACTCTATCTCACTGTGAGTAGATTCTTCTTTTTGTTGCCGGTGCGTTCGGCTGCGGCGTTTCTTGTCCTGACTCTGTATCTTTTATGTCCTTGTCCTCTCTGTAGCATTGACGTGTTCGACACTCGACGTGTGTACTGACGTCTGCTGCAAATCTTCGCTGTACAGTAACATCACACATCGTTTCGGCCGGCTTCACCACACATCGCATATTGCATAGCACATATCGCATATCTAAGGACCCGCGAACAATCAGCAGATATGTCCGGTCCTCCACCTCCTACCGCCCCTGCCCCTGCTCCCGCGTCGAACAGCTCTTACACCCGCGACGGGAATTATCACGCGCCTCGGGTGAGTTCTAGTCCTCTCCCCTCCCTTCCCGCCCTTCCTGCCCCTTCCTTTTTTTTTTGGTTCTTGTTACATGTGTGTTTCGTGTGCGCTTCTTCTCTTCTGTCTGTGTGGAGCGCTTGAGCTCGAGGAGCTGGAACGTTCGCCGGGGAGACCGGGGAATATCAGGGAATCCCTGGTTGGGTTGCGATGGATCGTTGGATGGGTCAGATGGGAATGAACTCGAGAGCACGGACGGCGACTTAGAGAATAGGCAGACCTAGGATACACTCACTAGGACATTCAAACGCACCGATGATGCTTCCTGCACACGCGCGCGCCCATGCTCTCTGTCTCCTGATCTCTACCCTATGCCTGCCTCGTTCCTGCCTATTTCTGGACCGCCCGCCATCAGCCTTCATGAACTAAGCAAGCCTTGTTGTGCAAAGACGGATACACGGGCGTCACCCTTGTATTTTCCTTAATCAAACTTTTTTTACCTTCTTTAATCATCTTTTTGACGGCGGGACTTGATTTGGGTATGGATTGTATTGGTTTGGGGGGTGGGGGGTGTATGTAAGGCGTCCCCGTCCCGTGCTTGTGGTGCCCGTGCTTCCTTCTTTTTCTCTCTTCCTGTGTCCCTTCATCCCTGCCTTGCCTGCCTGTCTTCGTTCATCTAACTGTAACTTTGCCTCGCCGGGCGTCTCTTTTTTCTGTACATCTACCACCACCGAGCGTTTTCCCCTTCGTCGTCAACTGAATTGCCACTGACCATTTTGTCTTTCTCGCGCTCTCACCCGTTCTTAATCCGACGCCCATCATCGCTCATTGGACCCACTCGCTTGTTGGTTACTTGGCGATTTGGCGATTTCGTCTCCCATCTACTCTCTTCTCGTCGACCCTGCATCCCTGGCATCTCGCGTTTGTTTGACACATTAAACAAACGTCACGGACTCACACCTGCGATCGCTACGCTACTTGCTCTGCTTATCGGCATCGCCATCGTTATCGACGCGAACGCCGCAACCTCAAATTGGCCGACTTCATCACTCTCATCGACAAATACAACGAATAACAACGAAATACAACTAGCAGCAACAGCAGCGGCGCGGCCAACCGAATCCGATTGACGTCGACGTGGAGTTGGAGTCATCTCACGTTCACACTCTTTCCGACGCCCATCCGCATCCTCACTCGCATTCGTCGACCCACCTTCCTCCTCCTACTAGTGCCAATCGGCCAACCACGAAGACTCCCCAGCAGAGCAATAGTCAAGGCCGGACGCGAATGCCGGCGATCGGCGCACACCCCGCGTTTTACGACCCTGACGCACCGTCCCACCCACCACCTGCAACGCTTGATTACGCTCAGTTCATGATGCAGCAGCAACAACATCACCAACAACATCAACAGCAAGCTCATGCACATGCACAACTTGGATATGGACAGGGAGAATATGCTTTGGACCCTACTAGTGCGGGTGGAGGGTATGGGTATGAAGGTATAGATGGGATGGGCGTTGATGTGGGTTTTGGCGCTTTTGCGGCGCACGCACATGCTCCTCCGACGCACCAGCAACATCAACAACATCAGGCGTTCGGGCACCAGCAGCATGCACTTCATCAACAACATCCGCATCAGCATGATTTTACGAGCGTCTCGCCTGCGTCGGGGAGTACGCACTCCTTACCAGCGGGAGGGACGACGTCTGCATTTTATTATGATCAAGGTGCCGCTGCTTCACAGCAGCAACAACAGCAGCAGCAGTATGCGGCGCATGGAATACCAGCGGAGCATAGCTTCGATATGTATTTCCCTCCTCCGTCTTCTTCGTCTGCTGGAGGAGGGTTTGACTCGTTCCCACCACCGAGTTCGGCGGGTACAGGTACAGGGACGCCGCCTGTACCGCTTTGGACACAGCAATCTGGTGGTGGGGGTGCGGGTGTTGCGGAGGGTGCTGCTGGGATGCCGGCGGACATCTCTCAGAGTCAAGCTCAGCCGCAGGCTCAAGGACAGCGCATGGATAGGTGGAAGAATACTACGAACGTAGATGGTGCAGGTCAGAAGAGGCCTGCAAAGAGCGGTACGATGCGTGCGACTCAACCGACGATACAGACGTCTGTACCTTCCGCTCAACAACAACAAAAATCATCAACTCAAGCACAAGGCGGGGCGAAGTCAAAGACATCTACTACGGGTGCAGGTTCAGGATCGACGTCAGCTGCGAAACGTAAACCTGCAAAGCGAATTCGTGCTAGCGTTGCTCATGAAGGGTCGGATAGCGATGTAGATTCTGACGATGAGATTGGTGTGACGCCGACGAGTAATAACGGGCATCCGAACCCTGCGCTTTTGAGGAATTCGTTCCCGGCTTGGTCGAGTGGGATGGGTGGGGGATTTGGACCAGGATCGCTTGGTTCAGGTGGAGGAGGAGGAGGGTTTGGTGGTGTACCTGGGTTGGCTGCGCTTGTTGGTGGTGGAAATGCGAGGTTGTGAGTCTTTCTTGTTCTCATTCTCCCTGAGTTTCTTTTCTTTGGTTCTTTGAGTTGGGTACGCAGATTGCTGACTTCTACGTTTTCTTCTCTTTTCTTCTGGTACCAACACTACTACTTCTTTTCTCAACTATGGACGATACGCGTTGTGTTCGTACCGGATGGCGCGGTTGCGGCTACTTCGCTTGTCCTGGATCGACTCGGCTCGGTTCTGACACTACATCATCGACGGGCGACAATCCTCAAATCTTTACCTGGGCGCTTATTTTTTCGCTTTTCGGTAATGGGCGTCTATCTTCGGATGATGTAATGCTGTCCTTACTCCGGCATTTTTCGAAAAACACGCGACTCGGCTTATTGGAATACCGGACATAAATCACTCGTTCGTATGGTCTGGTCTGGTTTGGTCTGGTATCGTCGTCGGTCGACGTGATATGCTTATCTTTGGCGCGTGCGCATGCGCGTGGATGGACGGATAACTGATGAAATTATTGTTGCTGGCGACGTGGACATCTGGATTGGATTGGAATCATTGGATGCGGGGTGGGCACTGCTTTTCGGGCAACTGATTTCTCCTGTCCTACTGCGCTTCGGTCTTCGGGCTACTCAATTTTCGCCTTTCTTGTGCGTATCGCGCGCTCTGATCTGTTTTGATCGATGGATGTCGATGCAGGCCTGGCGCATGTACACATTGTAAGAAGCTCAAGGTGCGTTTCTTGGATTTACCTTGTATGTGCATTGCTGACTTTGATTTTGCGTTCCTAAATTTTCTATTTACAATTTTTTCCGTCGCAAACTGGCTCCTTTTTGGCTTTGGCGCGGACTCTCACCCTGCATTCCGCAACTCTAACAACTCCGAATCCTATGCACTGCGAATTGGCCTTTCTTTGTTCCTCGTCCCACATGACCTCATGATCTTATGGTATGGTATGGTCCTGGCTTCGTATGGGATTCGAATGCACTGCACTGCGATCCGGCGTGATGATACCGCCTGGCTTGTTTGACTGCTGGACTTGACTGCGGTTTCCGGTGGTTGTTCATTCCGTTATGTGCGACTGACTATGCTCCTTCGAACTATCATGTGCATGTGTTGGACTTGTCCCTGTTCGGCTATTGCTCCTATTGCGTTTGGGAATGATCCGGTTCCGGACTTGGGTGTCTTCTCTAACTTGGGTGCATATGTCGCATCATCGTTACACGCGCTACGCTCTCCGCTGTTTCTAACCTCCCCGACGCGGATTTTGATCTGAACGTACTCCGGACACGGACGTGGCGTTGCATTTCGTGTCGGTAACCGTCGTCCGTTTGATATAATATTGCATATATCAATATCCTGTCCTATCCAACAATCAACACAACCTTGACGCCGCTCCGTATCTCGGACTTCTGGATACGCTTTTATGCACCTTCCTGGTTCTTCTGCTCTTCCTGCATCACCTATACACGTACACGCACATCCAACTTCCTCTTGAACGCGTATACGTATGCATACCGATTCCGAACACGACTTCGACTTCGACTTCGACTCTGACGTGTATGCGAACCCCGATACGAACGCGGATGCAAACTCGAACTCGAACTCGGACGCGAATAACACTACTGCTTCCTCCACCGACTCTATTCTTCTCTCTGCTGATAACGGTCCTTCATGTTCTGATGGGGAACACGAATGCGGGGGACAACAGATGAAGTGTGAGTTCCCGCAGGGCGATAATGTATGCAAGCGATGCAAGTCTGGTGGACATGCGTGTGTTGTTGAAGGTCGGAAGCCGCGGTCTGCGCCAAAGTCAGTAATCTCCTCCCTTTCTATTTGTCCTTTTTACCTTCAACCTTTTCCCCTTCCCTTCATCATTTTGCTTTCTTCTATCCCAAATTCCAATTTTCTTCTATTCTGTATCTCGATTTCATATATTTTTCATATTGAACCGACCCCCGCGATTATCCCATTCCGAGTTTCCTTTTTGGTGTATCAGGATATTGGATATTGGATTGCTAACTGCTATTTGCCTTTTCTTTTTTCTTTTTTACATGTAAATTATTTCCTCGTCGACGAATTTGGGATCCTTGGACGATTTGGGCGACTTCTCCCTTCCTTTCGCTCCGTACCTACATCGCCTATTCCCGCATTCCCGCTCAACTGAATACTCCGTAATTCTGGCCCTCTCACCTGTGCCGGCTTCTATGCCCCCGACTGGACGCCCGTGACGTGGTATGTATCGACGCTCACGTTATTCCTGGCCCTCGGCCCTCCTCGTGCATTCGTTTGTGCGTTCCAATCTAAATTCGATTCGACTACGCCCTCCGCTTGTAATACTTCACCGGGTGGGACTTATACCTGGTTTCGTATACTTGCGTTAATGGGTCTGTGCGTGGTGGGTTATGTTAAATGTGTCTCTCTCCTCGGGCGGGACTTTGGGATGTCCTTTGTGTCTTGTGCCTTTGTGTCTGTGTCTCTTCTGGACTGCTGTCTGTCCATCTACGTCCCGTCGTGTCCCTTCACGCGCTCGCCTCATCTCGTATCCGGTGTTGTTCGCTTCACCTCGTCTCTTCTCCATACTTACCTCGCTTCGTTCGGCCCGTGTCTTGCGCTCACCATACATTTTCCCCCATCCTCCGTGCCTTTCTTTCTTCGGCCTGGTACTGTCCATCGGATTGGTGTGCACCGTGCATTGCGTTGTACACGCTTCACCGGTTCATTGGATTCATTGACTTGACACCGTTCGCTCCGCTTCCTTCCGCTCCTCCCTTGTTCCTTGGTACACGCCCCAAACGCTTGTCTTCCTGCTACGTCGGTGACTTCTTTCTCTCCACCACTAAACTTCCGCTTCTTTGTTACTCCCTGCGCTTGGACTCGACGGGTTAATCGGAATCCTCCGAATACCTGTCCTGTGAAAACTTGAACATTACTTTTTTAACATTCTACACGTACTTGGCGCATCGTGTGTTCTTCGTGTGTGTGCACGTATACATACATACGCACGGACACTCCGCAACTCTTTGTCCTCCGGTGGACTTTGGGGATATACGGGATAACGGGGTTTGCTGTCTTTATAAAACTGGCTTACCTTCCTTCGGGTGTTTTTCGTCGGGTTGTTAACATTCTTAACATCCATAACATCCTCTCTCCTTCCTCACCTTAATCCCTCTTCGACCCTTCCCGCTCGTTCTGTCTTCGGGATTGTCGTTGTTCCTTGTTCCTCGTTTTGTTGACGATGGTGTCTACCTCGGGGTCAATCCTTAATGGCGACCGTACACCTCGTGCTATTCCTTCCTCTCTTGACGCCGTTAACAACGTTAACGCCGAACGCGACTCTTACGACACTTCGGATGTTATTCCTGTTGATGAAAATAGTAAGCGCGAGTATCTGCTTGCGCAGATTAGGCAGAAGGACTCGATCATTGAGTCGTTACTCAAGCAGGTGAGTCTCGTCTCAGTTGACTTTCATCTCATGTTATTATTTTTCTTTTGATTTTTGGTTTGGCGCTCTGACCCTCGGACCCTCGGGGTGATATTGCCATCTGAGATGCCAAGAGGCGCTAGTGTTCTTTCTAGACACCGGTGTCGAGGGGGTGGCTCTTCGTTCCGCCTTTAACCTTGATTTTACTTTACTCTTTTACTTTATTTGGGTAATAGCCTTTTCGGGCGATAGGCCTTTGATTCTTGAAGTTTCTTCTTCACCGCCGTCTATCTTTGATATATTATCTATCAAGGGCTGCAATACTAATCTTTGTTGTTCTGCTATTCTAGTTGCATAATCCCTATATGGCTACACCACTCTCTATCGCAGCGTATCGGATGGCATCTTCACCGTCCGACGCACACGGATCGCGGAATGTGATCCAATGGCTTGAGCGCCTTCAGCAGAGCGCGCAGAATCAGGCTGGTGCAGGGACGGGTGGAAGACATGCACGTGCGCTTGAGCGGCATGCGAGGAGAAGGAACGCTGGTGGGGATGGTGTGGAGGATATGGGTGTGAGTGATAGTGAGGAGGACCTGGACTTGCAGGGACAGGATTCAGTGATGCAGCAGCAGCAGCAACAGCAACAGCAAGTGCAAGTGCAGCAAGGTGTTGATGGTGTTGTTTCTGTTGATGGGAGTGATGGACACCTTGCGCCTCCGCCGGGTGGGTTGAAGACGGAGACTCCCGAGGTGTCTGAGACGTTGAAGCAGAACGACTCGCTACCGGACGATGCAGTCCCTATTGGACTTCTTGCAAACTTGTCACTTTCGAATCATGCTGGACGGGCGAAGGAACGATCACGTACGCGTTCTGAACACTCGAATAGCGGGAACCCTTCAAACGCCAACGTCTCCACTCCTGTCAACAACAATAACAACAGTAACAACGGTGGCGGAAGTACGATTGGTAGTGCCAAGGATCTTGAGAGTGATGGAGACGATGACACGAATGTCGGAGTTGCGAACGAGACGTATTTCCTTCCTGGACCGGCGAGTGATTTACATGTGCGAAAGATGTTGATTGAGAGGCATAGTCCGCCAGAGATACTTGTACATGGGTTGGTCAATGCGGAGGATGTGGAGAAGTTGTTTGAGATGTGAGTTGATCGTTCTTTGTTTTTTCGTTAACTTGGTTCCTGATTATTATTATTATTATTCGTGTTTTTGTGTAGCTTCTACGAGAAGGTCAACGTGAGTCTACCTGACGAGCTGTCTTCACTTTAGAGTAACTAATGTTAAAATCTGTCCTACTAGCCCTTCCTTTCTCTACTGGATCCCCAACTCCACACGCCCGCCTCAACCTTTGCCCGCTGTCCGTTCCTCTTCACGGTAGTCTGCGCAATCTCCTCCCGATACTACCGCGAGAAAGCCGAGATCTACGCAATCGCGATGCACTTCGCCAAACACGCAGCAGCCACAGCGTTAATCGACGGATGGAAATCCGTTGAGCTGTGCCAGGCTTACATCCTCATGGCTGTCTACGCCGTACCCGCTCGACGATGGGAAGAGGACCGGAGTTGGCTGTATATCGGGTTAGCGATCCGGCTTGCGACGGATTTGAATTTGTATCAGGCGAGTGCGACGAAGGCTACGAGTGAGTTGCATGAGAGGGAGATATTGAATCGGACGAGGGTGTGGATGATTTGTTTTAATCTTGATCGGTCGACTGCGACGCAGTTTGGGAAGCCGTCGACTATTAAGGAAGATTTGTACGTCTGCTTTCTTTCCTTCCTCACCTTCCCTCTCCCTCCTCTCTCCCCTGCCCGCCTTCCATCTTCACTCCTCCCCTTCTCTCTTTTTTGTTTGGTATCCGTATAAAAAGGGAATGGGAAAACTCATACTGATACTCAGCAAACAACTCAGTATCATTCGGAACTCGAAGGACTGGTATAAGCGATCGAAGTATAACCACCCGTATGACGTGCATTTGTGTGCGTATAGCTCGCTTTTGAGGATTGTTGCCAAGTTTCATGAGGAGATTTATTCGGATCGGGATTCGCCGAGTGGGTTGAACCAGGTGCGCTTTTCCCCCTTTCCTTTTTTTTCGCATCTAGGAGGGTAGACGGGTGTATTGACGAATTTCGATGTGTTCGTTTTTCTCTCTTTTTAGAATTGCGATTTTAGGGAGATCACGCTTAAGCATGATGCGATCCTGGAAGAGTATTATAAGGAGTGGGATCAGAGGTTTAAGGACGATTCGGATCCAGAAGGTCAGTCAAGCAGTGCGATCGCGTTGCGAAATGTGAACACTCATCGTTTTTTTTTCGTTCTTAGACAAAGCGTGCAAGTTCCGGTGTACACTCTTACCCTTGTGAGTATCGCCTTCGACTGGTAGGGTTTTTGATGGAGAAAGAAGGACTGACTTGGATACGGTGTCAGCTTGACGAATTACTCGCGACTCGTGATGTTCTCGTTTGGGTTCCAACAGGCGTTTAAACGTGGGTTCCAGGCTGGGGATGAGTTGTTCTTTAACAAGGTAAGCGACTATTTAGTGTTTGATTTTAGTTTGCTGTGTGTCTGACGGTGAATATTTGTTCTGTAGTGCATGGAGTCTGCGTCGAACGTGATCAAGTGCGTGATCGACGTGCTGGCGCCGAGTGGGTACTTCCGCTATGCGCCAGATGGGCATTTTGTCTTCGCGTCATTTGCATCTGCGTTCTTGCTAAAGGTACGTACGACGGCTCCAATAAAACGGTGGCATGAAGTCTCATCATCGTATATTCGCGCACAGCTCCTCCGTCCCGAGTTCTCCAACTTTGTCACCCACGAACAGACAAACCAGATCTTCGCTCTCATTGGTAAACTCATCCAAGTCCTCGCCTCGTCCGAAGTCTCCATCGACGACCGACACACGCCCAAGCTCTACGCGCGGTTCCTCGCTGGGTTGCTTGCGAAGCACCAACCGGGCGGACCGTCTAGCGGAAGGTTACATCCTACTCGACCGTCGGACAACGCGAGTGGACAGATGCCAGATTCGGATGGACATGGTGCGTCTGGTGGGACGATGCTTGGTGGTGGGACGACGCAGGGTGTTTTCCATGTGGGTAGTGGTGGACAGGGTGGAACTTCCCCGCAACATGGGGGTTCGCAACGCGCGCTCGCTTCAGGTCCAGGTCCAGGTCCGCATAACAATGGAGTACCGGAACTCGTACCGCACCAAGCCTCACCCTTATCGATAACGAGTACGCCGATGGACACACCGATCTACGAAGCTGAGGCGACTTATGCTATTGGTACTGGTCCTTTGGAACTCAGTAGCTCGGAAGGTATGCAGTTCACTTGGGGTGGAGTTGGGGGTGGTATGGGCTTTGGAGGAGGTGGGTATGGTGGTATGATACAGGATGAGGAGATGTTAGCTACGATGCATGCAATTAAGAACCCTGCTTTTTGGGAGGACATGATGATGCCTGGGTGCGTTTCTTCCCTCACCCTTCTATTCTCTGATTTTTAAAAAAAGTGTTCGGATTATACTAACATGTGCGGGTTCCTCTATGTGTTGTAGGTTCATGTGGCCTGATACGGCACGTTCGGGCGGAGCTGCTGCTGCAGCAGCGTTCCAACAACAAAACATCCTCGGTCTGAATAATGGGCCGATTCCTCAGCAGATGCCGTTACATACCTAACTCGGTTAGATTAGACATTTTCGACATTCAAAGATTTTTACTACGCTAGTTTTCCAATTCTCAATGTATTGACTGCATGAACGAACGAACTGCTCTTTTCTTTCTATCTCAAATTTACTTGTACCTCTATTTGCTTTCCTCTGCTTTTGCACTTTGTGACTTGTTGATTGTTGTGTTCGTCAGACTAGGCTAGGAACTGTAATCACTTTATTTAGATCGTCAGTTTAGCTCTCTCTTTCGTTAGTTGTCTGGTAATCCCAGTTGACTTGGCTGGTCGGTGAAGCTATTTTTACTTTACTCGCTTTTTTTATGTGTACAATGAATGTAAATTGAGCTACACATCAATTAACGTTGCTTTTACTTTTTGGCTTTTGTTTTATGTTTGACTTGGTGTTTTAGAGGTTGTTTGGTATGACAAGAGATTCTTCCTTTGCTGATAATGAGTAATTTCTTTGAACTTGACTTGACTTTACTTTCTGTACTTTTTGAAGGAGCTTTTTGTGTTGATCTTTTCGGATTTTTTCGGATGCATCAATACACAGTGGCTCTCAATAGACAATGCTGGTGTTAGCATTCATCCTCGTCCTTCCAGCACTTACACTGTTGAAGGTGTATCTGCTGATGGAAACACAACTAATCCAACCAATTGTATGAGGTCCCCTCTTGCATCAGAGCTCC